GAGAGAGGATGCTCAACTACTCAGCCAGTGAGATTAGGTACATATAGTCCTTGATTATAATTTTTCTTCTTTAACTTCTTAAGAGATGTCTTATCTATTTACTTAATTTGAGGAGTCTTAGCAGTCTGTGTGTACTTCTGCTTTCTAAATCACAGATGAAACTGTTGAATCTCAATGTTTCTCATGAAACTCACTTTGTATGTGGCAACATGGCAAGACAGCTGTGCTTTTGGGGATTTAAGGTACAGCAGTTTCTAAAGGCAGTCCATTTCAGGATTTTGTGCTAAAAAGGAATGCTCCCCTACTTGTTAGACTTGATCAAAGTGACTGACACATCTTGAGGTATCAGTCACTTTTATTTTACATCATGTATTCTGTTCCTCTGTATGTACATTTTTTAAAAGACAATTTTGCAAGCTCTGGAGAGAGACTTTTAAATGTAGCTGGGGAGGATGGGGAAGAGCAGAAGCAAAATCCTTGAATATCTCTTGATCCAAGAGGACAGGCAGTCACAGATATGGCTTGGTAATTTGTCTTCAGACCTGTTTCCTATTAATGAATTGCAAGACAGTTTTAAAATCAAATTAATTGCTTTCTAATGCCAGCCCATGTAAAACTGAAAGATACAGTCTGTTTAATGTTGGCCACCTTTGGACAGTGTGTGCGCACAAATGTGCCTAGCTTGCATGAACTTCCAAAATTCTCTGGCCTGCCTTCCCAAATTCTCTGGCTTGCAGCCAGCTTCTGGCTCTCTCAGTCCTTGAGGTGGAGAATGATGGCAGAAGGCTGGTGGCTAGAGGAATTGTTCTGCTAACCTGCCATTCCCTTCTTGTGTGACTGGCAGCGCATCCAGCGGGTGACCCCAAGTGAGTGTGCCTTGTCATATGATGGATGCATGTCCAGCCTCGAAGCAGCAGCCTGCATTCTCCTGTGGTCATGGGCAGGGTGCTGCCTGCAAACCCTGCCATGTGAGTGGAAACACACCTATCTCATTGCCAGTTTATGACTGTTCTCTGTCATTTGAATGATATGAAGTCATCAGGTGATGAAAAAATGACAAAACTTTTTGATAATATGATGGACATTTTGGTTGTCTACTAGAGGAAGGGGGAAAGGAAGACCTGGGGAACTGTCTTTGAGTGCCTCTATGAGAGTCTGTTTGGCCCACCCTGACACAAAAATTGAGGTAGTTCTGCCCTAAATATATTTGTTTATTAAATGCAACTTATGATCGCAATATTAAACCCTGTAAACAGCAAAAGTGCTGTGATTTGTTATGATTAACACTCTGTAACACAGCATTTGCTTTAGGCTAAAAATTTACAATGTTCTTGAAAAAGTGCATCTGCATAGTTTCAGTCTTCATGAATGGAAATAGTGCCAAAGACTTAAACCAATGAAAATCTGTTTATAGTCATCGAAGTAACGAGAACGACAAAATGTTTTAACAATGAAGTGCAAAATAAATCTTAGTTTTCCTTGTAAAAGGAATGTAGATGAAAATATAACTCAAATGGCCTTTTAGCTTTTGATTATTGTATGAACTAGCAATTAAGCTTTGAAACTGTACGAGCTGGTTGAAGTGGACAGAACTAGGCTGTGGAGTGACTTTCTTTTTCTGTCAGTTTGTAACCTGTATTGACAGAGCAATTTGTGAGTGTATTGTATCAATTGGATCTTTCAGTTCAGCAACTATTGTTCATTTCTGGAGGCACATAATTTCTCTGGGCTATGGCTCATGCAAAGTTAAAATTACAAACTTTAAGAATCAGAGCAACAAATATGGGTATTCGGGCTATCAGGAAGCCTAACACAGAAGCTTAAAAAATGTTAAGAGGTGTTGAATAGGTTTCCAAAATTTATTTCTCTTTGAAATGTTAGTGTTTTCAATGGAAACAATTTCTGCAATGTGTGATACTAAATAGGTGCCTATTTTGTCAAGGACAAAGAATTTATAGAAATAGATAATTTGTTTTGTTTGTTCTGTAGTAACTGATTAGCAAAAGTGCTTTTAAGTTGGAAATCTGCTCAAAGAGGTTTTCTGTTTAGAGTTTATCTTTTATTCCTTTTTAAATTCCTCAGTGGACTAACTGCCTCTGAAGAATAAAGAAACATGTCTACACTCAAGTGCCTGTGACTAGTAGTTTACGCTTTCCTTTTCTGTATAGCATTAAACTAGCAGAGGAGAGGTCAATTTTGGATCATCCTGGAGAAAGAAGAGCAAGTAGGTGACTAGAACAGTGGTGAGAAAGGGGTAAATTTTGCTGCTTATTTTAAATTCACTGTATGAGACTTGGATCTATCATACTGAAGTCCTGAGTCCTGTTCTCCTTCCAAGGTATATCACTTAATGGAATGTAAGAGAAATAGCATGAACATTCTCTTATGTTAAGCCAGTGAGGAAGCTTTCTCTTAACAGCCAGGACTGCTTCTTCCATACTCTTCCACAGTGTTGGAAGTGCAGATAGTGAAGAGATGATCACAACTTAGATATCCTAAACTTTCTTGCTTCTTGTCCAGAGGAGCTAGGTTACTCATTTCATGTGCATCTGCCACATCCAGGATGAATTTACAACACTAGATAAGAACATGGTTTGAGCAAGCTATATAACAGTCTGTGTAATTGCGAGTAGATAAGAAAAATCTATGATACAGTAAAGGGTACTTTTCAAGTAAATTGCTTCTTTAGCATCCTGTTGAAGATCATGTGTATGTCAGAAGTGGAAATTCTTGCTTATTCTAATAAACTTGTTTTCTCTTCTCCACATGCTCCAGAATTGTGTTATCTCAACATTTGTATTTGAAAAAAGCTTTGACAGTCACTCAAAACCTGTGATGGCAGAGTTCTTGCCTGGATTTTGAGCTTTTCCAAGAAGTAGAGAAGCCCCCTGAGTTTAAGCAAAGGCTTCCTAAACAAAGTTGTGTGATTAGTTAATGTCCAAAGATTACTGTGCGAGCATTGCTCCTTGTTTATAAACGTGACTAATTCCTCTAAACTTTCACATATTGCTGTCTAGATAGAACTCTGAAGTTGCTATCTGATTTTTGAAATAAACATGTGAAAGTATGAAGAAACAAATATTTAAAGCACATGTACCTTCCAGAGTGAAAGGTTGGTCTGCACTGGAAAATCCTGTTGGGTTTCACTGAGAGAGAAACTGTTGATGGTCTTGGGTTTTGCCTGCAGTAGTAAAAGTACTGGGTTTTTTTAACCTAAGTTTTGTGGTTGATCAGTGTCTTTGGACTGTGTGGGTTGGCGTGATTGCCAATTCTAGTAATTGGCATTTATAAAGGTGTATGAATTTTCTGTGCATTGGGGCAAGATATGTTTCCCTGGATGCTTGGTGTATGGCACAGAGGCTGTTGGGGGTGTGTCTGGAGGATTCATTAATATGCATGTTAAGTGCCTTCTGTCCTTTTTAAAGAAGGAATGCCATAGAACTGAATGTGGTCATCTACCCCAGCTTCAGGACTGCTTTGGAAAATGTAATGGGGAAGCTTCTCTGTCTTATGGGGAGGGGGAATAACATAATTCTTCAGAAGCCTGAAATACTTTGTATTAAAAAAACCCCAAAACAAAAAGAAGATACTTGCCATGCTTTGTGAAGACAGCAATCTAAACATCTATAATAATCTGGTAAATAATTTATAAAGAATGACATCTTTGCAATAGCTACGCTAGTGTTCTCAAAGAGTAACTTAATTTGTTTTCTTGCAGTCTGTAGTATAAAGTGGGATATATTTCTGCAGAACTTCTGTTTTATAAAGAAAAAAGCAGTCAATTAAATTTTTCAGTTAGGAAATCTGCAGTAAATATTCATGTTGTTTTAAAATGTAAACTTTTGCTCACAAACATTTGAGTTTAATTGGCTGGTTTAGATTTATGAAAATGGAACATCTCATCAGATTGGAAAAGTTACAGGATTAAAATAGTACTATCCATATCTTTTTGCATCTACGCAAATTGAACCAAAGTGTATGTATCTGTGTGTGTATGGGGAGTGGGCAGGCACTGTGTAGGGGTGTTTGTTACTTACGTATGCTTTCATTTATTCAATGAACAGTTGTTAAGCATACATCTGCGAAATCCAAGTTAACAAGCAGGATTTTTTGGTCATATTCCTACTTTTCAGTTTTCAGGATAATTGTATGTTGATTGATAACTATAAGAAACTTTTACAGTTAGTTTTCTCAATTATTTTTGTTAACCGAGAAAACATACTACTGGAGAAGTTACACTTGAAATTCTCACTCACTGCATTGTTTTAATCCTATGGAAAGGATATTTACAATATAACAAAGAACCATGGTAACTTTTATGGAATGCTTTGGTTTTACATGACTACATAAATGTATCGTCCGTGTAAGAATTAAAAATTACAGTGCAATTTAAAGCCTTGGCTTGTGATTCTACAAGTGTAGGTATGCTTCAACTACATGCTTGAGCTTGACTCCTTTAATAGGTAGGCACTATAACCATAATTATTTGCAGGATTAAGTCTTTGGATATGAACTTTTAGTCAATTAGGGAGTTCAGAGGCAATGTGAGAACATTCGAAAATACTGTAACCACTAAGTGACCTTTATTAGTAGTAGCTGGGTAGGTGTTAGTGCTGAAATAATGAATTACTCAGCCATTTTTGTAACTTGCACTTCTGAAATAACATGGCAGTAATACATGCATAAAGGGTATTTCTGTGTTTTAGCTTTATACTCTACTTTAGGTGATGGAAAGTAATTGTTATAGTACTGCAATTTATTAGGACTTACGTGACATAATTAAGTGAGCAAGAATCAAATGTCACCATAGGATTTGCTGTGCTAAGCATAAGTAGATCAGAGAACAAATGTATCTCATTTAGAATCTGAAATGTCCGTTAACTACACTGCTTGTAGGTCTGAAAATAATTTTCTTAGTTTTTTCACACTAGTATCAAGAGAAACTCATTGCAGCAGTATTTTTCTTTTTTTGAGGTGTATTTTTTTCCCTCTTTATTTAGATGTTGACACATTCATTTCCCAAACACTAAAAGGAGAAAATCTATCCAAGAAAGCAAAAGAAGAAAGGGAAGTTCTTCTTAAGAAGATCAAAGATGTTAAGGCAAGGTAAGTAAGCTTCATGGCTTTAATATGCTATAAAGTCACAAATAAAGTTTTTACAATTTTCCAATAACCCTTAACAATATTAGCAAAAGTCTGTTTAGGTACTGATTTTATCAAATGATCTGCATGGATTCAGGTCTTTATATCTTTCTTGAAGCTGCTACAATTGTCAGAAATGGGAACAGAGGGTTTTGTCCCATTTAATTGCTGTAATATTCTGAATCCTGATTGCAGGCTGGTTGGGTAGAGCTTGCCTTCACCTCTGCTTTTGTTAAGACTCATTGAAATTTAAGAAATGTAATGCATTGAGAATGTGAATGAGTTTCCTGTCACCATACTGTGCTGGTGTAAACCAGCATAATTCAATGCTGACTTTGCTTTACTGTATATTCTGTCATTTAGTTCTATAATAGCAAATTGAAACATAACTGGAAATGATTTATAGATCATAAGTTTGTTTCTGCAGTGTTAAAATAGTGAAGCAGCGTGACAGACCAAGCAGAGGGCTGTGGGTTTTTACCTTTTCCTTCCCCCCCCCCCCCCCCCCCACGCCCCGAGTGTTTTTTCCCTTTCCCTCCCCCCCCCCCCCTCCGGCAGGTATGATTTGAGACTGTTCTATTGTGTCTTAATTTCAGTCAGACAATTCAGATGAAGAGATTTGACTGTAGTTTTATTTGTGCTACAAAATTTTATTTGCAAAATCTCTTTTCTTACAATTCTGATCAACTAGGATATAGTTTAGTACTTGCTGTTCTTTTCCCACTGTTGTTTCTGAAGTGTTTTTCTACTGATCACTCCTGTGTGATATCTCTTAACCTTTCCTTTGATGACATGCTTCTGCCTCTGTGGCAACCTATTTACAATTTCAAAGACAGCACAATCATCTGGCAAGGACATCATTCTTTGCATCACACTAACTGACAGAAGACATGAGATGTATCCCAAAGTCTTGTAATTGAAGGTTTGTGTGCCTTTGATTCAGGTTGTAAATGCTTAGGGAACTACTTTCCTTTTTTTAAGGAACCAGGATTTTTTTTTCTTTTTCCTGCTTTCCTTTCTGGGTTGTTGAGCTAAACTGGGACTGTACAGATGACTTGCAGATACAGCACTACTGACATTTTTTCTTCAGTCTTATGAGTCAACTATGTTTTTTTTGATGATGAAATATCAAAGGAGGGAACCTGCAGTTATGAACATAGTTGACAGTGAATGCTTTGCCATCCACTTATGTGACCCCATGATTTCATGTCTTAATTTCTAATTCCTTCCTTGTCTCCTGTAATATTATTCACTCTTAACAACATTTTGTTTTTCATGCAGGCTATAAAATGTATGCACATTGTAGTAATCTTTGATTTTTTCATATGCCACATATTGGGCTGTGCCTAACACTGCTACTTCCTATGCAGGATTTCTTAGATCTGGCCTTTTATCTCTGTTTGCATTTCTCAGTTTCTTATCCCTAGACCATTCCTTTTTCTCCTGCTGATTACTTGTAAGCATCTCCTTATGGACTAACCTGATACACGTACTACTGCTTATTGTCTATAAAGATGGTCTTGGCAGCTGCATTTTATTTGCCAGTTATTTCTGGTGAAATCCTCTCCTTTTCACATAAAGCCCATGCACGCTTCCTGAGGTGCTGTTTTACATAATTCTGTCCTGATTATTTATCTTTATACCTCAAAGTGTATCCTATGATTACTTTTGTTTCTGAAATATCAAGATTTAGCTCTGAAGAAACAGTATTTTTTTTTCCCCTCTGGGATGATAACAATAGAAGTTTTTTAGACATCAAGTATGGTGAGATATTCTTATTTGAAAATGACTTTTTTAATTTAGGCATGCATTAACTTTTAAATTTCTGTTGAATTATTAATACTTTTACATTTGAATTTCATAAATTACTGCAACTAAACCCAGTATTTGTGGATTTTACTGACCGTGTTATTTTAGAGTATGCTTAATGGCTTTTACTTGTGCACAAAACTTCTTGAAATATGTTACCATTTGGAAAGTTTACTAAAGATGCTTGTTTCTGTTTATACCTTAAGATATCTGAGTAGATGTATATCCCTAGAAAAGGCAGCTCTGTCTAAGTTTGGTTTTGTCAAGTCTTCTTTGAAGTGACTGCAGATTCTCTTAACTGCAGAGGCAACAGAAAAACTGAATAAATATGTTAGCCAAAAATAAAGACTTAAAAATTATTGAGGAAAACTTGGCAGTGCTAGGTTTCAACTACAATACCTGTTGAAAACTAGTAACTGTTCTCTGCTGTGTTCTAGTACCATGGATTGGCAAGTGTGCATTGATTTACTGTGTTTTTTCTTCTTTCTGCAGATATCCTCAAGAATTCCAGGGTAAAGGTAAATGTCGTGCTTTGTTTATTTGTTTGTTAGTTTGTTTTTTCCTTACCCGCCCCCCCGTGGTGTACTTTTGCCCTCTGGCAGACCCTCAGCCAGAGGAGCACAAGGTGCTGGCTGCGGCGGTGCCCGGCCGTGCCCGGGTGCTCCCGAGGCCGAAGGGCCTGGCTCCCCCTGCTGAGGGAAGCGGGAAAAGCTTCCCGATTGCCAAGTTCTCGCTAAGCCATCGCTCAAAGCCAGGTCCCATTTCCTTCATAGAACGCCTCTGAGAACGCTTACTGATGAAACGATGAGTTTAGAAATATAGTTCGGAATAGGAGCTTGTTATGTCTGGCTTAATTAGCACTGGCGTAGCGTTGCAAAAGACCATGTGAAGCGGTTTTATTTTCCAGAGGAAGCCTATGCAAAGCAGCCTGCTTAGGAGATAGAATTTTAATAGAGATAACTTTTTTCAGCCTTTTTTTCTTAACATTGCAAAAGTCTTCAATTCCATAGTGATGTTTCTTTAACCTTTTAATAGGATCATCTACTGGCAAGATGATATTGGCTTTCGATCCATGCTGAATGAATGTTTCCATAGTGCAGCTGAAGCTCAGACCTTCAGTTGGAGAGGAGATGATTTAGTGTGCGAGTAATGAAAACTGAAGTGTGGGTTATCTATTGTCTTCTCGTGGAGTTAAAACAAAGCTGCAGAGTTCAGTTTAGAGAAGACCGAGGAGTGTGTTGCTACAGTGTTCTGTTCTGTAACTAAACCTGGAAGGGCTCTTATTTCCATGATGCTAATTCTTGAGGTCATGACCTATAGCCTGTGGATGCTGGTATGAGGGTCACAGTGCGAGGTCAAAACAGCCAATGCAAAGCTTCACTTTTTTGCAGTGATTGGAGAACTGTGTGTTTCTGGAAAAATGTGTGGGCTACAGTGTGCCTCCTGATAAAGTGAAAGTATTTAAGTTGTATTAGGCAAGTAATCCTATAACAAGACACAACAAGAAGTTCATACATTTCTTATCCCTGTTTAAATCAAGTTACATAGCCATAGCAGTTTGACTGAAGGAGAAAATACAACTTGAAATTTCCCAAAGGTTGCCAAGATTTTGTAAACTCAGACTATGTGATTTTTTAAACATGTATTAAAATAATTTATTGTTATTTTTAATATTGCACCTCAGCACCCTCATTGAAGTTAAAATTTAGTTTCCTTCCTCTCCTCTCTGTCCAATAGAACTAGGTGTGGAAAAGTCAAATGTTATTTTGCTAGACAAATGACTAACATGAAATAAGGTGGGATAGTTGTTTAATTGCAAGTGCATTTGACTTTCCAGAGAGCATGTTTTTGAAGATTTAATAACTTTCTGAGGCTATGAATTGCCAGTAAATATCACAGTTGTCTACAGAGAGCAGAGTTTGTGTTTACTGGTTTGCTTTTTTTCAAGGTCGGGAAAATTCTACTATGCTTACTTTCTGCATTGGCAATTTGATTCAGAATTTCTTTTCTGATTCAAGAGATTTATTAAGATAGGATTTCATTATGTCCATCAAAATAGATGGTTTAATTGCTACATTCTGTAATTATTATTGTATAACTTGTTCTGATGTCTATGAAGATTGTGTTCAGTCTTACTCCTTTTGTTAAAGTGCATTTGATCCTTAATAAGGATATGTTGCGTCTTTTTAAATTCTCATGGTGTCTCTCTGGTTCAGATTGTAGAACTGCATACAGATGGTGAAGCTTGCAAATGCTGATACTTTAGTTTACTTTCAATATTTGTCAATAAAATGAGAGAGCTGTAAAGTTACACTGTTGTTTTCTGCAAGTGAGGATAAATGTCTCCAAATCAATGGGCATTTACATGAATAAATGTGAAAAATATGAGCCTACATCTATCTGCAAAATATTTGAGGAAATGTGGTATAGTTGTTGGTATCATTTCCAGAGTTCAAGAAGTGTGTGCTAAACTTATTTGGTTGTGTCATTCTTACCTCAGGCCTGTACAAATTAGGCATGACTTGTGTAGGTGTAGGACAAAGGACCCACATGGAGGTAAGCAGCCAGATTCTTGGCCAGCTACTAGTGTAACAAAGCAGTGGCAGCAGCTGATTGAGGTCAGCTTTTGTGTCCATTCATTCATCTGTGCGCACCTAAACATTTGAAAAATGGAAAATTTGAGAAAAGGCTAAAAACTAAGGAAAAAAAAAATTAACCTTTGAGAAAAGGTTAAAAATTTGCAAAGAGGCTAAAAACAGTGTTGGTCAGACATTTTCCTGTTCCTCCCCCTCCAGGAAAAAAAGAAATCGCCCAAAATATAAGATGAAAAAAGGAGAATATCCTTTAGGAAAAAGGGAGAGGTGGAAGCAGAAATGTGGAAACTGCACTGAAACAAACTAGGAAGAATTAAAACTACTGTGCATGTGTAAACTTGGTGCTTGATGTTCCTTGTTTTGTGGTAGCAGTTACTCCATTTTTTTGTAAATGCAAATAAAATAGTCTTTGTTGTAGCTGGAAGGAAAGGTGAAGAATGATTCATATTATGTGCCATATTATCATGGTATAGTAATTATCACAGTACATTAATTATCATACCATGTCAGCTATTTTCAAGAATCTTATGACTTGTGACCTGTCATCCTTCCAGAAGCACTCAGAAGAATCTTTTGGAAGCTGAAAGAAGTGGACTAACACTAAAAATTGGTATATCTCCTTATCACGTAAAGAAACTTGACTGTGGTCTCTCAAACAGCAGCTCTTTCAGCTTGTGAGTTGTTCCACAAGCATGCTTTGTGCTCATCAGCTTGTGACTCCACTCTCATCATTACATGCTCTTGAAGTTCTGCTGGCTTTGCATGTGGTAACTGCTCAGTTTGACCAAGGTACTATATGTGTATGGGCTTTGGCTACTGTCACACAGAATCTTGCCTTTCATAGAAATAAGGCAAGGTGGTTTAAAAGAAGAATTTAAAAAAAAATTGAAGAGCATGTGCACAAGTAGAACCAGGCTCCCTAAAACCAAAATCAGCTGTGTGAATATCTGTAATTTTCAGAAAGCTTATACATACTGCTTTGCAACCAAATTGATAAACTTTAGTACTTTCTTGCATCCTCTTAGAAAGAAGCCTTCTTAGGTTCTCTGTTAGGTCAGTAAATATGTTGGGAAAAGCATCTTTTGTGTCTGCGCAGTGAAAAAATGAAGCTTTTTTGGGAAGGTGGGTGCATATGAAAATTAAAGACACAAAATTAGTTGTGTAGGAAAATACTTAATCCTTATGTGTGATGTGTTATCTGATTTTACACTAACTTTTACAGTTAATTGTAATGTTGATTTACAAAGTGCATGTTGTTCGTATGACAAAAATGTACAATTATATTAACACTCCCAAAACTAATCTTTCCATAAATTTTATTTTTATTGAGTTATTTAACATTTATTGTATTTATTTTATTCTTAAATTAAGGAACTCAGCAGAATGTCTTTTTTTTTTTAATGCTGCTGCTTTTTTTTTTTTCTTTTAATTTGAAATATTTGACTCCTCATCTAAGCAGTTTAAGCAAAAACAAAAAGCCATAGTCGCACTCAGAGTGACCTGTTCTAGATCTTAGAATTGGGGAAGAACTGGAAAACGAAGATAATCCTCATACAAATTGGATTAATTTTTTAAAAGACTGATATTCCACTAAGGATGTAAAAGCCTGGATTTTGTCAGAGATCCTGAGTTAATATAGTTTTTGGCATTTCTCTGTTTTGAGATTAATTGAATCAATACCATGGCTGCCAAAATGTTTAGTTAAAAGAACCTTGTTTTCAATTTATGCTAAAAATAGCGCGAAAGTTGGCAGAAGCACTATAAGCCCTAGAAACTGTATTTGTGTTTGGAGCTCACTTGCCATCTGCTCTTTGCATTTATTTTACCAAAATATATATTTTTAATCACTTTTCACAAAAGATTTTTGGCTCAGTGTTGAAAGAAAGACACCGAAAGTATAGCCAAATCAAATCATAATAGGGGAATCAGCAGAACAAGTTCCCCTTAAAGCACTTGGTGCACCTTATGTATGAGCTGTGGCACACAACTTTGGCTGTATTGATGCAGAAAAGTATGATACAACATTTACTAACTACCACTTTTCAGTCTGAAAACTAATGAAGGCCCACTTTCATTTATATTTCATTGTAGTATAGCAGAAGATAAATCTGTGTCTCTAGAGCATCAGTGTTCTTCTATGTAGTTATTCGGAATACGTGTAGGAAACCTTTAAGTGATTTGGATGCCTCTGGCTCTTGGTAGAGCAGTGTCTGGAGCCTGAGACATCTACTTCCTGGAAATAGTCAAGCTGATAGAGTAGCACTATGTGCAAGGACTTTGTATTTTCTTCCCCTGCCTCTGTGTTTTTTTTGTCAAAGTGCTATTTCATTTTTTGTCTCTGTACTCTTTTTTTTCCCCTCAGGAAATGGCAGCAGGTAGGAGTCCTTTTGGACTGGAGAAAGGGAGGCAGTAGCCTGTAGTCATCAAAGCAGTATGTGGATGCGAGTTCTGTACCTTAACACACTTGAGCTTTCAGTCAGGGGCATAAATATATCATTAGTAATAACCATAAATGGGGAAGATATGGCTTAGTTGTATAGTCCTTTGAGGATCTTCATGATGTATTTCTGGAGAGACCATTAGATGCATTAAAATTGTGCCAAATATCACTCTATCCTGGAAGTCTGGAGGGTTTCCTTGTAGGCAAGTCACTGTTGTCTGCTTCAGCTACATGTAGTTGTTATCTGTGAAGTGTCCCTGCCAAGTGCAATTTAAAGCAGCACAAGACAGAACCACTAGTGCAGCACAAAATGATCTTATGTGCATCATCGGAATGAGAGGCAACTCAACAAGTAAAAGTTGTGTTGCTTTTCTTGCTTGAAGTGTATTTGCTTACGAACCTAATGCTGTTTCAGTATTGTTTTAACAAATAGCTGCTAAAGAATTCCTACTTGACCTTTACAAAACAAGCTATTAAAACCAGTCATTTTAATATGAGAATCCAGAAGACTCTTCAGGAATGAGTGTATTGGAGCAGATTGCATGGCAAAGCATACATTGAGAAAGCGGCTGTCGAAAGAATCCAGCCTGGTAAGATGACTGGTGGATTGGGTTAGTAGCATCTTCTTAAAAAATCATCAGCAGCTATCTGGGGGCTGAAGAATACCTGTGCCAGCTTGAAAGCAGCTTTGTCTAGTTATTTTTCTGAAAAACTGTAGTGAGAACCTTGCATTGATCTGCTTGATGGCTCCATCGGATCCTTTGGTGAGCTCTTACTGCAGCAGAGTGGACAGGAGGAAGTGATTTCAACCTGCTGTCACTTGGGACCTTCTGAAATGGCAAGAAGCAGAGTGTTTGACCTGCATGACATTTTATTTTTGTGAGTTGTTTTATTTCTTTTATACTTGAGCAGTTTTAAGGCATCACTCTGTCTGGACTTCTTTAGAAATAAACCAAAAGTCTTTAGTGATCTGAGGATGTGAACTAGCAAGGCTCTTTCAGCGATATTGGCTGAAACATCTTGCATGTGCTTTTTGTAGAGTTAGTGGTGGAAGCAGTGTCTTTAATGCTTAGGAGTTCATTGCTGTAATCACTATTTCAGAAGAAAATGAATTCTTGGGGAATGTTTTTTTTTTTTTTTTTTTTTTAAGTTTACTGGATTCTTATAAAATAGTATGGTCCTGTTCATTATGTTTGGCTTGTACCACCTAAATCTGTTGGAAATCTTCAGAATAGAGGGGCAAGGACTGAAGCGCAGCCCTTCTTACAATAAGAGTTTGTTTTATGCTCCATTCCTAATGTGGTACACTTACCCTTTGCTATGCATTACTTCCTAAATCAATAAATAAGCTGTAATGGAAAAGGTAGCATTTAATAAGGAAAGACATTGTATGGGGCTTTTTTACAGATAAGAAAATATTGATTCTGCTATCAAACCTACAAAAGGTTAGTTTAAATTGCAGAAACTGAAGAACAGGGTCAGTTCATATGCATATTTTTGTTATTGTTTAACTGCTAACTATCTACTGTTAGTTAAACTTCTTTTTTTCAACTTCCAGATAAATCATATGGTGTTCTGGGGAAACAAGAAACTATATTAATGAGCATCAACTCCTTAATTATCTTTGTGACTACATAACGGGGACACATTCATGTCATTTCTTTGTGCAATAACTTTTGCAAAGAAGTATTTTTAAACTGATCATTAATTTTATGACCACAGAAATGAGATGCAAAATTTATGCTGTTGTCATTGGCACAGGTTCAAGGCACTACTGACATTATGTGTGATTGTAATGGAATGGCTGCCAACTAATGAGTCCATAGACATTTCGTTTGAGCATGCTTTGCTTTTAGATGTCTGATTAGGCAGCAATGCTTTCAATTATGCTTGCAAATTGTATTGGATACATTTACCTGATGCCCATTGTTGCTTTGTAGTTCGGTTTTCTATTACATAAATGCAAGTTGAATGCTTTTCTTTAATTTATTGATGCTTTTCGGGTGTATTTTTAGGTACTTGGCACCTGAAGAGAGGAGTAGTGGCTTGTGCTGCTCAACACTGACTCCTCCGGCTGTTCAAGGAGTAACACATGTAGTTTGAAATGCAGTTCTGATTAGCCTTTTTCTCCGTAAGTGGAGTGTAAACTGCAGTGCAACACCCTGATGGACGAGCATTTAAAGTTTAAAAGAGGCAGAGCTTATTCTGAGGGGGAATGCAGGAGATCCCCCAGAACCAACAGGAAGCCTTTCTATGAATTGTCAGGAGCAATATCCTTATATATTAATAGCATACACTTCTAAGATGTCTTTTAACCCTGTGAGAATTAGAAGGCAAAACCCCAAGGCTGAATCTAGCCCATAGTCATTTTTCTACATAAATGCATGAAAATATTGTGAAGTGTTGCCTCTCAAAGCTCCAGAGCAGATTGAGTCAGCTCTTCCATCAGCATGCCTTCAGTTCTTCTGTACAAATTAGCTAATTTAAGGGTTGCATTTTAATGTATAATACAAACTTCCAAATACAAGGATTTAATTTAAAATAAAAATTGAAAAATTTTTAGTTTGATCTAGTTCTGCAAGGCTACAGGTTGCTTGTGCCTCTATTTATTGTTTGTGACCTATTCTCCACAGTTTTTGCATAAAATGTAGGTAACTAAATGTAATATTGAAGCTGTATATGGGATTAACATATTTGTTCTGACTTAGTAAGTTGTGTGGT